ACAATTTGCTTGCATTGAAGGATTTTCTAAAAACTTAGGTTTGCTTCACTAGTCGTCTTCCAAAAATATTTTAATTTGTTCTTATTCTTGAATTGTCAGTGGTTTGCTATTTCTTTTCATTTCTTGCTAACGGTTTATTTGAATATGTCATCAATGTCCACATTTGTAGCATCTTCCAAAACAAATCAAACACAAACAATGTCTTTTTCCAAATTTTTAACAAATTAGCTTTTTTTTTTTTTTTACTGTGACTGCTTCTACTTACCTTCTAATTTATTTTTTTTTGCTTTAAAAGTAGTTTTTCTTGCCAAAATCCTTCTTTTTGCTTGTCTGAGGTTGTCATTGCTGACTGGAAAAATATGGCTCATTTTCAATTCGTCTACTGATTCAACTAGAACATAGAAATCACTAATTTTGAATGACGCCAAAACCAACCTCAACTAATCTTTGAGGAAAACAAGAAATCTGACACATTTCCTCCTGGATATTAACATAGTGAGGTGCATATCTGGAAAGAGAAGTGAATTTTGTCTCATATTGCATAACTAATATAGACCTTAGAGTCACATTGAAGAATTTATCTTACAGCGCTAATCTAGCTAAAGGAAAAAACCAATCTTCGAACACTAACAAATTCATCCCACTAAATCCGTGGAAGAGGTGCTAGTTAAAATTTTTATCTATGCTACACCTGCTACCACCTCTCTCCTTCGCCTTATAGCATGAAAGTAGCTAACATCACTCTGATTTTCTGGACAAATCATAACATCCAGAATTTTCCTGATCATCAATAGCCAATCATTAGCAACCGTAGAATCACTTACACTCTTGAATGCAGGTGGCTTAAAAAACAGAAAGATTTTCAAATGACGAGCAACTTCTGCTCTATGTTCAACTCTTGGTCCTATAGTGATGGAGAATCTTTTAATATAAGTCATTTTTTCAACTACTTGTGATATCAATTAAAAGATTTCTTGCAGCTCAGTTGCTCTCTGATTATCATTTATATTCAAAGCATCTTCAATCTTACTTCTTGATCTACATATAGCCTAAAAGACTAGCCCTCAGTACTTTTTGATTATCCTTTAAATATATTCATCTGTATAGACAATAATTATTATTCAAATACAATTTATTATATAGTAATTATATCGTGCATGCATAATATTTTAAGTCATATGGGTTACCCACCCCATATTCATCAACTTATAACTCTATATAATTCAATTCATATTTGATCTTATTCTTACTTCTAAATCCAACACGCTTTCAACATTCTCTTCACCTAGTAATCTTGCTCTAATACCACTTTTTGTCACGTTCCAGCTGGCCATCTTAACAGTCGATTGAGACGCAACAGAGACTGACAATTCAGCAAGATTAAATTCTTATCAACACTCATCCTGACTTACAGAATCAGAACCTAGTGAAAGATGAACTAGTCTAACTAAATTACTGCAAACATACTTGATATATTTTATTTCATAATTCGATTTATATACACATGAACTCAGAAGCATGGAAATTATATTAGTATAACAAACATATCTATACAAAGCTACAAAATCCAATATAAATAAAATACGTATCAAAAACTGTACAAGGTCCTAAAACTATAAACGCAAAAGCTATACAAATCACACCTGGCTACTCGCCCCAGTGCTCATTATCCCTTGAAAACAAATAATGTAAAGTTAGCAACAATAAGCTCAATGCAATAATCAATGTTAAACTAAGATTTTATATACGAAAAAGAAACATGCACGCTCGTATATCTATCCATGTCCACACACATGTCATAAAATACTAGAATCGTATAGGCAATAATCAATGTTAAACTAAGATTTTATATACGAAAAAAAAACATGCACGCGAGTATATCTATCCATGTCCACACACATGTCATAACATACTAGAATCGTATAACACATGTTAAAGAAAACAGATAGTGTATAAAAATTGTATAGCACAAGTTCTATCACCGTTTGACCACAAGAATTCACCGTTTGCACACCACGAGTCGAGTGTACCACATTCATGCATAGTGTACTTGCAAGAACTCATATAATAGTATACCCATAACATCACTTGTGACTTTTAAATCATCTTGTCTCAAACATTCATCACATTTTATATCATGCAAGAATCATCATTTTAGGTTATTCTGAAATGGTGAGGTCATCCCTATACACCAAGCCTCTTCTTTCATTTCATCAAAATTTTTTGTGAACTTGTATAGTTCACATTCTTTGGCTCTACCCATCCATTTTTAAATTAGAATTCATTTTTCAATTCTAATTCATAAGTAATAGTTCTTGTCACAAAAAAACTATCCATACAATGGCAGTATTTAATTTTGAAAGTTGGCTAAGTAGCTAACATTGTTAATCCGTTTTTCTTTTCAAAAAAAGAAATAGGAGCATAACTTTTTTCATCCGCTTAATGGACAATTATTTGTTACTAATGGAGAATATCTTTTCACCTCAAATCGGGTTATTGGATTTACACCAATAGAACCCATATATTCACAACATAATTAGGTAGATAATAGATCTTGATACTAGTCAATCAAAAGATCATGTTCCACCCTATCTATCACAATTCATTGGTAGTGGTCGTTGATACTGCGAAAAAATTTTGCATTTCTTCAAACTCATGATTTGAACTTAACAGGTCACACAAAAATCCTAGTACATGTTCCTCGATGCTGAGGAAAACCTCGAAAAGTGAGAATACCTTCAAACAATGATTTCATAAACATATTCATCTATATCATAGCATAGCATCACATATATCATAAGTCAAGTTGCATTCATACATTGAATACAGCCATCCATGCACAATAAGCGCATTTGTGTCTGACGTTGAATCAAAAGAAAACCTATAGATAATTATTTTTCTTAAATTAATATGAGATTATTTCACTTTGTTGGACGAAAAATCCCTACGACAAGCTCCCGCACACTCATCTCGAACTCACCGTCTCGTTTGAAATTAGAAATCATAGACACAGTAAGAATTCATGGAATCATAACTCGTTTCGTGATATAATCAAAAACATAACTTTTTTTGCCAAAACATATCTTAAACAAGCTTCTCTGCATAAATTCACCCTTCTAATACCATCTATTCTTCTCTCATTTTATTCCAAACACCTCAATTTTCCCTTCCCCTCGTGAAAATCGTGCTAATAGCCATAAGGGATGCTTGCAAACCAAGTTTGACGCTTCTAACACAAGTTCAATGTTTGTTAGGCTACTAGAAAAGAAAAATTGCACAAATTCATGGCAACGTAAAAATGAAAACAAGAGAAAGAACTTTCACAAATATCACTAAGGAAAGGTTTGTACTCACTGAAATCTCTTAGGCCCATGAAATGTCGTCTACCGCACTCAACGGGTCATGCACCAACTTTAGTTTGTAACTATACTACAGTGTAGGGTCTCACAAGAGCTCGTGGGAGAAGGAATCGAAAGAGGGAGTGGGGACATGGCATTTTAATGTGATCCCCCCTTACCTTTTGGCCATTTGATCTAATCAAGCCCTTGCATGCGCGTGTAAGTGTGGTAGGAGTCCGTGAGGAACAGTAAACAAGCGGGAGATCAAGGAATATAATTAAAATTTAATTAAGGTAATTATACAGATATGAACAAATTTTTCTATCTCTAAATCCAATCAAAATTAATATATAGTATTTTATTTCAAATTGATCATTTTCATGCGTTAAGTTTTATAAAAATAATTTGATTGAATTTTGAGAGGTGAGAATTTTGAGATACATTTTAAATTTTCCGAACGTATCCGATTCTTAAATTTTGAACATTACACGGTGTCCTTAAAATCAAAATTAAATAAATTAATAAAAATTATGAATTATGACGTGAGATCATAACAATAACTTTTCCCAACTATCAATTCCAAATAAACAAGTAGTTTACACCTCTACTATTATAATTTTTTAAAGTCAAAAATCTCTCGCTCTCGTCACTGTCGCGACCCGACCCAGGGCTTTGAATTAACCAAAACGGGAACGAGTGGTTGAACGGTGAAAAGTATAACTGTTATTCTATGTCTATTACTAACAATTTAACATTCAAAATAATACATAAAAGAGCATCTAAAGAAAGCAATAAAAATTAGTAAGTAAAAATTTGTACCTTTCTCGTTGTTCTTGCCTCCTATATACATTTTGTCTTCTTCTATTCATATTGTTCAAATGTTTCAAAACCTAAAAATAATATTAAAGCAACATAATGAGTTATCTAAAGATAGCCTATGAGTAATCACACTTCTAAACTACGGTAATTCATGAAAAAAAAATTCAATATGCATGTTGGTCTTTTATAAATTTATAAGAAATCTTATAATGTTAATCTTTCATATTTTTAAAAGTAATATGATATATGTTAATACATGCATCAATGACATTTTCTAAATAAAAATATTTTATGTTCTATAAGCATTAACTTTACTTTTACTTTTTATTTTTTACATACACATTTGTCTTTATGAGGATCACAGTCAACAAAACTTGACACACTCTTTATTGATATTGCCCCATCGACGCAGCAGTTAGCGATCACTTTTACTTTTTATTTTTTACATACACATTTGTCTCTATGAGGATCACAGTCAACAAAACTTGACACTCTTTATTGATATTGCCCCATCGACGCAACAGTTAGCGATTTATACATCCCATTTGTTTAAGGTTTAAAAGGTCTTTACCTTCCCCTGACCAATATTATCTAGCTGGCACAGCGGTTAGTAATATAAATATTACAATTGTTTGGTGAGGTGAGCTATGGTCTTTTCGCCCCTGACCGATATTATCTCATTGGCACAGTAGTTAGTTAACTATCACAATTGTTTGGGGAGATAGAAAAACTCTATGCATGCGGGTACACTGGCATTCTTTGTCTGTACTATTAGGGGTGAACTTCTCATCTAAACATGCACATACAAGCATTCATATATTAGTTATTTCATTCTTCATACATACGTTATTCTGAGACATCTTTATGCAATCTACTAACATGCATACTTACTATATTTCATGCATCACTCATATCATTTGCATATCTATCTCATACATCTCTTACTCATATCATGCATATTATTTTCTATCGTGCTTATCATATGTATATTTCCTATAACATCTATCGTGCACATCATGCATATCATATATATGATGCATCTCATACACATTTTGTATGCATACTGCCATGTCTGTCAACATAAACAAATTATTGTAATATAAATCTCACTGAACTGTAGCGTCCATGTAATTAGTATATATTTTGAAATAAAGACGATTAATGAAATTTTAAAATATAATTATTCACCTCGATTGCCACGTTAAGTTCTCAATCTTGAGTAATTAACTGGGCATTGAATGACCTTTATGTTGAGTTCAATAATCTATAAAACATAATATTAAATTTTAAGATTAAAGCAATTTCAATTAATCGAAGTAATCTTCTTAACTTAGGATTATTTATCTGACTGTTTATAAAGTCGTCTTACAAATTGCTTCCACACGCTTACCACGAACTTATCGCCTCAGGTAACACAAGTCCGCCTTTCAGAAGCTGCCAAATAATCTTCCCTCTTCATTTTATTTTCTCAAAACACTCTT